GGGGGCATGGGAAACAGGTGAGCTCCTGCAGCCCCCCCATTTCCTGGCCCTTCCCGCCAGAGCCCATCCCTGCTGCATCTGGCCTCCCGCTGGCTGGCTCAGAACCCCCTGGGGAGGCAGGAGGGGGGAGCCAGGGTCCCCCCCCGTTTGTCTAACGGACCCCCTCAGACGAGGACCCCTGTGGGCCAGGCCCAGGCGGTGGGGGAGATGGGCAGGAGAAGCGGGTGGCAGAGGCAGGACACGTCCATCTAGACAAGTCAACCTCGGGGTTTCCCCAACCTGAGGCCGGAGAAGTCAACTTAGGGTTTGACCAACTTGTTCACAAAAAAACCCTCCAGTTTTTGTCTCCCCCCCGGGGACACCCAATCTACCGCTGAGTGCCCTGGAAAGAGAACAGGATGCTCCTCTGATCTCCGCTCCTGCAGCCAAAGCCTGTGACGTCTGGCCCGGCCTTCGGCGGTCACGGAGAACAACTGGTCCCCCGGCCTTGGAGCCGATCGGACGTCTTCTCCAAATGAAGCCGGCCCGATTTCGGGTTTTGTGCCTTCCCTCGGAAGGTGGCTTTCTCTCTACCTCGACTCATTTTCTGGGCTCTTTCGAGTGCGGCCCGCATTCTTCCTCCCTCCTTCCTTGTTCCTTCCACTTTCCGGACCAAAAAGTCATCCCAAACCCTTCTCGGAAGTTGGGTGTTTTCATAGTCTCATAGAAGAGCAGGGTTGGAAGGGACCTCAGGAGGCATCTAGTCCAACCCCCTGCTCAAAGCAGGACCTAATCCCAACTAAATCATCCCAGCCAGGGCTTTGTCAATCCGGGCCTTAAAAACAACCACCTCCCTAGGGATCCCATTCCAGTGCTTCACCACCCTCCTAGTGAAATAGTGTTTCCTAATATCCCACCTAAACCTCCCCCACTGCAACTTGAGACCATTGCTCCTTGTTCTGTCATCTGCCACCACTGAGAACAGCCGAGCTCCATCCTCTTTGGAACCCCGCTTCAGGTAGCTGAAGGCGGCTATCAAATCCCTGCTCACTCTTCTCTTCTGGAGACTAAACAAGCCCAGTTCCCTCAGCCTCTCCTCATAACTCATGTGCTCCAGCCCCCTGATCATTTTAGTTGCCCTCCACTGGACTCTGCAATTTGTCCACATCCTTTTGGCCCAAAACTGGACACAATACTCCAGATGTGGCCTCACCAGTGCCGAGGGGAATAATCACGTCCCTCGATCTGCTGGCAACGCTCCTACTAATACAGCCCAAAATGCCGTTAGCCTTCTTGGCAACAAGGGCACACTGCTGACTCGTATCCAGCTTCTCATCCACTGTAACCCCCAGGTCCTTTTCTGCAGAACGGCCGCTTAGCCAGTCGGTCCCCAGCCTGTAGCAGTGCCTGGGATTCTTCCGTCCTAAGTGCAGGACTCTGCACTTGTCCTTGTTGAACCTCCTCAGATTTCTTCTGGCCCAATCCTCCAATTTGTCTAGGTCCCTCTGGACCCAATCCCTACCCTCCAGCGAATCCACCTCTACCCCCAGCTTAGTGTCATCTGCAGACTTGCTGAGGGTGTAATCCATCCCATCACCCAGATCATTAATGAAGATATTGAACAAAACCGGCCTCAGGACCGACCCCTTTACCCTGGCTGGGATGATTTAGTTGGGGATTGGTCCTGCTTTGAGCAGGGGGTTGGACTAGATACCAGCTGAGGTCCCTTCCAACCCTGATCTTCTATTATTCTTTTCAACAGATGTCCGGGTACTTAAAGTCCCTCCATTACTACCAGGTCTAGGGATGTTTCCGTTAGATGGTTATGTCGGGGGGAGCATCTCTGCCGGAGGGTTTCAAAAGGCAGCTGGCCGGTCGTCTGTCTTGGTTGGATTACACCCAACAAACCCGGCGTCTAGACTGGACGACTTTTGTGGCCTCTCCGAGCTCTCTGTTCTCAAAATGCCTCAACCACCTCCTCTTCCCTTCATCGGTGGGCTACCGGAGACCTCAGCCCGTTTTTTTTTTTTAATTCACCATTTTCTTGATTCGTCGACACCAGAGCTGAATTCCAGCTGGGGCTGAATCCAGAGGTCAAATCACCTCCCTGCTCCTACACCGGATTCTTGTCTACACGTCGCCGAATCGCCAAGTTGGGGGGTTAGTGACCCCTCCCCTCCAGCTGTGGGTCCCCCCCCCCGCCCGGTTTCCTTCCAGGGCACCGATAGCTAATCCGGGCATCTGCTCCAAGCCGAGTCCCCCCTTCCCAGCCTGTTTTGGACCCATTCGCTATTCATTAACTCAGCCCCCGCAGCCAACCGGCCCTTGACCCCCTCCCTCACACCCACGGACGGGAAGGAGGCAGTGGTTAAGAATCAGCTGGATTTATTGTATAAAAAGTTGGTATAAAAGACCAGCGGAAGGGGTGGGTGTACAGAGCGGGGCGGGGTCGCGGGACCAGGGGGCGGGGTCCCAGAAGGGGGCGGGGTCCTCAGTAGGATGGGAACAATCTTCCCACCTCCCCCGCCGTCGTGAGAAGTGAGGGCGAGGTGGGGAACCGTAGGGTCGACCCCGCTTCCCGCGGGAGAGAGGAGATTTCATAGAAAACTAGGACTGTAAAAAGCTGGCAGTGAAAATTAGCTGAGTGCAAGACTGGACCTGGCGTGGGGTGGGGCGGGGGGGAGCTGGGGGGGAGGGGGGAATTATTCCGAATCCTCCTCCTTCACCAGCAGCTTCTTTCCACTCTGAGGCAGCAGCTCGTCCCCTGACTCCTTCCGGGTCTTCAGCAACCTGTCCCGGGGAGAGGAGGAAGAGACTCAGC